AGCTGGAAGTCACCTCCAACCAAGTTTTCTTGGTCATATCAGCGACTTGCCAATAGCCCGTTGGTGGTTGGGCAGTCCTCAGGCGTAGTTCTGTCTACCAGATGTTCTTGGACCAGAAAGTGCCGAGGCGCTCCTTGGTCCGAGTAAACTGCACCACGTCTTTGGGATCAGCATCGGATCCTGCTGTCGTGGAACCCCTTGAGCTTACTTCCCGCCAATATACCCGAGTTTCTTGTTTACTCTTTGGGCAATCCTTTGTCCTCCTGGAGCGAGGCTTTTGTCTGCACTTGCCTTTTGGTCAGTGCCCCGCTTCATCCTTGTCTGGAAGGAGTTCGCTGCCTCCCTTTCTCTGTCTAAGCTTTGGTGTTTGAGCGAGATGTTCTTTCCCCATCGCTTGAGTTAGACAGTGATTCAGGAGACTGGGTCTTCATACGATTACATAGAGGTTTATATCTGATGCGTTAAAGCAGAACTCAATCTGATGTGAATTTTCATGGGCATATACATCTTCATTTCAACGTATTGAATAGACGCCGTGCTTCTACTTGTGTGTATACAGTGGATTAGAAAATTGAGAACTTCCTTTACGCATATCATTTAAAATGAATCAAACGATGCTATTACAGCTCATAGAAGAAAAAATCCAGTTTCCCCTATTTTCTAATCCCCTGTGTGTGTGTGTGTGTGTGTGTGTGTGTGTGTGTGTGTGTGTGTGTGTGTGTGTGTGTGTGTGTGTGTGTGTGTGTGTGTGTGTGTGTGTGTGTGTGGGGTCAGTTGTTCAAACCCACACTGGATCGCTGCTGTGTACGAAAAAATTCCGCCTGGCGTCGTCCAACTCCAACGTTAGGGATGATGAAAGTCTTTTGTCTCCACTCTGCGAAGAATTTAGCTGCAGGCATTAATATCTATTTTATGTATGTGTATATATGTGTGTATATACATATATATACATATGTATAGATATATATACACACACACACACACATATATATATATATGTATATATGTATATATATATATATATATATATATATATATATATATATATATATATATATATATATATATATATATATATATATATGTACATACATATATATATGTGCGTGTGTGTGTGTGTGTTTGAGTGTGTGTTTGTTTTACGGTTTTAATACTGAAGTCAAGAATATACAGGAAAACTGGAATGTTTATATTTTGTTTGCAAGTTACAGTTTTGGATGATGATCAAAACGCCATTTCATATCATTATTATTAATATTGTTACTGTTATCGCCACAATTAACTTTTATTATCATTATTATCGTCATCCTTATTATTATTTTATTAATACCATTACTGTTGTTATGAATATTACTCCAAGGTCACCTAGTAAATAGAAGAAATAACTTTTTTACGACATGTCACTTTTTAGCTAGTGATAGGAGACCGAAGCTTGGATATATCTGCATGAAATGAATATTTGGAAAAGGAAGATCTTGTCGTTTGAATAAGAAATTAGTTCATGTCTTAGAATATGATATATGCAACCTATATGCTATAAAAGTATGTACATGTAGATGATGATACGAAACAGAGATAAGGAGCTTGCTAAAGAACATGTATTTCCTTACTGTTCATGGGCCTAATGCAGTGATATTCCAATACTCTGACTTTTGGTTACGACTTGCCTTCTCTCAGTACCTATGTGTAGTTTTTTTTCTCACATTAACTAAAGTTGGTATTGCTGCTTTAGAAGTCACTCACTGAAATAGAGAATACAGACTGTTTTACTAAAATTACTACAGGTTTCCTCGCAAAATCTAATTGCTTCCTGAAAGCACTTTGCAATCTCACGGCAAATTCATGTGCAGATATTGAATGATGGTGAGACATGTGGCGTGTTTTTTTTTTTCTTTTTTTTTCTTTTTTTAGTTTTCAGGTAGCATGGCCTGGTGGATGCCTTAGCATAGTTACTGACTTTTGACTTTAATGCAATACCTTGTGTGTTGCATAATACATTTTATGCATCTATGCTCTGGGATTAGACTAAAGATTTACTGTGATGCTGTATATATTCTCTTTCTGTGCTGATTGAAATCTAACTTGGAATCATTGTTTAATCAATTTACGTGGTATTGATTTTCCTTTCTGTAATTCACCGGTAAATGACTTTACTATGAAAACTATATAAATTATGAAATTTCATATACGAACTAAAGTGATCCAAACATTAAAGCTCCAAGTAAATCTTGTGCTATAACATACACCAGCAACCAAGCCCGTTAATTGAACCTGTAGTATATTTACAGTCAAACAGTGCTTCCTGCCATCGCAGTACAATGGTTCTCATGGTTTCCATAGCAACACCAGATTATTGTTTATTATTCTCTTCTCTCTTTCTAGTATACTCGGCATGAATCTTTTCGGTTGCAAATTCTGCAAAAAGGGCTCAGACAATTCAACTACCTGTGACCGAAAGAACTTTGACAGTCTGTTATGGGCCAGCATAACAGTGTTCCAGGTATAATTTATGTGTCATATGTGCACCTTTGGTTATGTGAGTGACTAGCAAACTATGCTGTGATTGTGCTCGCGTATGCTAAGGGTGTGTATAATGTTCTGCGTTTTCTTTTTCTTTCTTTCTTTATTCTTGTTTTTGTTTATCATTTTTAGGTTTTGTTTGGTACACATTAGTTAATGAAGTTAGATTAGATAGCTGAAAGAGGTATTTGAAGTTTTGAAGGCAAGATGAATTGATTTTTAACTTTATCTACACTTGAAGCTGTCTTTCAAATACTTTCAAAGTACTCTCTGTTGTAGTTCACTGATAGTAGAACATCTGCTGAGGAGTCTAACTTTCTTTGTAGTGCCTGCTGTCAATGTGATAACTGTTAACGCTGTTGTTTTGGTGGCAGTTGGTTTGATTTTCCTTAGTGAATGGCAGTGGTCAGACTGGCAAGCTGTCACAAAATTAAAATGACTGCCAAAAGTCTGACACGAATGTCATTTAGATAATGAACAATAAATAACAATGGTTCATAATAAGATCATGGAGGGTAGTCTCTATAATTACTCTTAATCTGAGCCACGCGTGTGTGAACTGATGCATTATTCACAACGGGTAGGTCGTAGGTGATAGAACGAGAGACAAACTCTCCACAACTCCTCAGGTAGATATAGTAAATAAGCTAATGATGGTCACAAAAACATCGTCTACAAGCAAGGTAAACAATTCCTGTATATTTGGTGAATGGAGAGGGCCATTAATCTTGTAGGACAACGATAGGCCCAGGTCTGTATTAATACTTCTTTGCTTGAGTACTATGACAATCTTCCACCATGTGGCTTTTTGCAAGGAGAAAACAAAGCACGACTAAGCATTTTGTTGCATTTGACTTGTGTACTGCAAGTAGTTTAACTGTCTTATTATCTCACTAATTTTCTTCCTTACATGGTTGTGTTTCTACTATTTCATCAGTGCAAAGAAAAGAAATTAAACTGTTGAATGTTTGCTCTTTTATTATGCCGAGTGTAAATGCCAAGTAAAAATTGTATCAGAAAACCTGAAATACATCCTGAAAATAAAACAATTAAGCATCAAAAGTGATATGACCAAAATGCAGATTTCACATTTTGCCATTTGTGTTTTGTAGGTATTTCTTCATTGTTTGGTTCTAGCAACAGGTGGATTTTATCTATGTTTGATTATTTTTTCATTATATATGTCGGGGTCTCCTTCGCGTGAATCTTACATAATGTGAGTGACCTAATCAACTGATCAGACATTTGTTTCTCATTAGTTTATGGTTCATACTTGGTTCTGCTCTGTGCTGTTATGCAGTCTTATCATAAATGTTTGGTTCAGCGTAATTTATGTGTAGGCCATCTAAACATGCATTGTTTTGTTTGGATTGTCATCTTATTAAAAGTCAAATGTATATGGTTTGAAGCCATTGCATGATTTTGCTTTTTTCCTGATATGCTGGCCATAGATATTTGCTGTTGGTCTACAATGGCTGGCATTAAATGATAATTTATATGCTAACATGATATAATGCACCAAGAGAGTACTTCGTAGAAATATGATGAAATGATTTAAAATGTAATGCTTCATTATAATCTTTACTTTGGGCTTTGAAATAAGAAGTGATGAAAAAAGCTTTGCCATACGCTTACTGTAGGAATCTCATCCAAATTGTAAAACTTTGGCTCATGCTTGGTGTAGGGTCTGAAGCTGCACATTGAGCTCATGCTTGGTGGAGTCTTTTCAATGGCAATAGAGGACTCAGTTTATTACGTGTCTTTAGGCTTTCCCCAATACAGGTCTCTGTGGATTAAGCCAAATGTAGGCCTTCACGATGCCTCACTCGGGCCCTCACGCTCTCACGCCTTGTAGATTGACTCTGCTTAATGAAGGACATTGGCTTATACTTGACAAGAGACTGTGGATACTGTTTGGTGTCTTTTCAAGAAGTGACGTGAATTCCGTGTGAGTGTTTGTGTGCGTGTGTGTGTGCGTGCGTGTATGTGTGTGTGTGCGTGTGTGTATGTGTGCGTGTGTGTATGTGTGTGTGCGTGCGTGTGTGTGTGTGTGTGTGTGTGTGTGTGTGTGTGCTTGTGTGTGTGTGTGCGTGCGTGCGTGCGTGTGTGCGTGCGTGCGTGTGTGTGCGTGCGTGCGTGCGTGCGTGTGTGTGAGTGCGTGCGTGTTTGTGTATGTGTGAGTGCGTGCGTGCGTGTGTGTGTGTTTGCGTGAGTTTGTGTGTGTATGTATGTGTGTGTGCGTGCATGCGTGTGTGTGCGTGCGTGTGTGTGCGTGCGTGCGTGTGTGTGTGTGTGTGTGTGTGTGTGTGTTTGTGTGCGTGTGTGTGTACATATGTGTGTGTGTGTACATATGTGTGTGTGTGTGTCAAAGTGCATTCATACACATTATACACACACATACACATACGCATACGCATACATATACACATACACATACGCATACATATACACATACATCCATGTGTGTGTGTGTGTGTGTGAGACTGTGGTATGTGTGTGTGTTTGCGTGTGTGCGTGCTTGTGTTTTTATACGGGCATGAGTGCGCGCTTGTGCATATGGTTGTGAGCAAGTGAAAAAATATCTATGCTTGTACATGTTATGCATAACTTTATGCTAGCATGGGTAAGCATACGCGTGTCCCGGTGCGTGCCGTGCATGCTTGGGCGTTCGTGTGTCTGGGCGCATAATGTCTTCTACAACTTTCATTCCTGTTTTTCCCCCAATCCATGTTTGTTATGTTTGTTCATATTTTATTTGTGTAAACCTTTTCATTTGAATATTTCTATTTATTATTATTATAGAACTAAGCAATGAGGAATTTACAGTTCCAGTATCATAAAGTGTTCAGCATTGAGGAGAAATATCACATGAAATGGTATATGTATGACCAAGATATCAAAAATAAACAACTGATTTAGACAGCTGAATGTATGGGCAGTCTTAGATTAACACTATTGTAGATTAACTGCCGAAACCCTTATGAGCGATTGTAGTAGTTTTAGATTACAGAAGCTTTGGTGCAAAAGTGATGTAGTAGTGAGTAAACATAATTCTGGTACAGTTTATATAAGAGACATGAGTGTAGCCTTACTGCAGCATATGCTGTTGACAGGTAATAAAAATAGATGATGGATATGTTGCTAAAATGATATAGCAAAATCCTTCACATAGTGGCTTTCTAGAAATTATCAAGATATAGAGTAGTGTTCATGCCTGTGCAGTAGAAGGGAGGTAGAGGCACAGGTAGAATTTAGCAGTATCACCTATGCTGTTTATTGATAATGTTGATTTGCCTAGAAAGTAGAAGTGCTACATAACCTGTAGTATGGTATTACTGATTCACCAAGAGTGTATCAGTGCTACACTTGCAGTGCTGGTGAATCTTTTGTGAAAATATTTCTGTGCAGTATCAGCAATAGCTTTAGGCAAATAACTAGAATCATAGTAGTTATTCAGAAGCCACTTTCCCATACCTGTTTGAAATGCTTATTTATGCTGAGTATTTGATGGTACTACACATTATATTGAAACATCCTCAAAATCTTGGGGGAAAATGTAGACATCTAACAATAGTATTTTTCTCTATAGGTATGTCTTTGTAGTATCCCTAAGTAGGATGAGTATGTACTGTATATGGCCTCTTGTAAATTAATAATCTATACAGTATTTTTGTGTGTAATCCTTACTGGCTGGTACGCTTATCTTCAGGAAACAACTGCAGGCTTCTGGCGCATGTTGACCTGCAGTATACTCTTGCGAAAATAAATAAGTTAATAAAAGAAATTATAATGATAAGGACCTCAAGGGCAACAGCAGCAATAATGATAATGATTTATTATTTTGTTATTATTATTATTATTATTATTATTATTATTATTATTATTATTAAAATGATAATAATGATAACATAATGATTATGATACTCACATAGTCCCTCACTAGAATGAAAGTTCAGCCATCGTTTAGAATCATAAGACCAGAACAGCATCATTGCCCAATGAGCATTCTGCACAGCAGAGGTCCCAAGGGTACGAGCCAGTAAGCACTTAAGATGGCCTGTTAGACCCCATCTAGCTCCAGGTACAGGATCCCCCACTCTTGATCTTTCCACCAGATGCTCCCACGCGCTCCACGGTGACCATTTACCACTCTCGTTTACCGTGTGTTTGTGCTCCACATACGTCCCAGGCTCTTGTGATCGTGCATTATCCTCTTGCATTAACGATCTGCAAAGTTCAGTCATATTTCCCTTCAGGACTTGATGTTCTTGTTGGCAATTCACATTTACTAATGTGTGTTGCATGCTGACTTGATCCATTTATATCTGGATTGATAACTTTATAAATAAATTTACTAGCGTTGACTGTTCAATATTTTGTGCAGAGATTACCAAACTACATTAACATCTTTTAATAAGTGTTAAATTTTGATTTTTTCCCCATTTTCAAAAGAGTAGTTATTGTGATTTTGCAAGAATAATCCATAAGCCTGGGCCTTTACCAATGTCTTCATTAGTTCATTCTCGAAACTCATGATCATTACAAGCTCAATATTCCGCATTCCTTCCCTTTCCATGAGGGAGCTGCAGTACCTACTTCCTACTGTTCCTTCTCCCAGTGTCTGTTCATGTGGCCACATTTAACACTGTCCCCTGTGTACTTGTCTGACAACCTCCCTTACTTGTTTGAGTTGGAGCTTCCTGTCAGTAGGGCATGTCATTCCACCGTTCTAACCTGTATCTGTATCATATCCATAATGCATCAATGTTATTCCATACTTTGAAAGTTTTGATTATGCGAGAGCACCATGATAGCCTCAGTGCTGCTCATTAATATTAATGTTATTCCATAATATCCACTCCAGTGCTTGCATCTGCTTTTGTACTACCCTTGTTTTTCCTTTTTCATCCTTTATGTGCTTTTCTACATCTGTGTATCTTCCTCACCTAATTAAAAAAAAATACCTTACGATCCGTTTTT